CCAAAGATTCAAGCCAAATACCAGATGGTATCCCTTCACTACTTCTACTACATCTTTCAGACAATGAGAGAAATTTATTCTTAGACCTTTATAGTTTTATCTGGAACAACCCGGCATTTGCGTCAACATCCTCAGAATCATATCAAAGTGTTAGGCATACATGAAGCAATTGCAAGTGAGCAAGATTATATTGAAGTTTTCTTTGATATTAATTAAGCTTATGATACCGTATGACGGTTCAATATTATATAAAAAATTGCATAATTGGAGTAAAAGAAGTAAAATTCTAGCCCAAAATTCCCTTTTTTAGCTTCTAAGTACGTTTAGATAATGTTATCTTATATAAAAAAATTCAAGAGGACGGCGTAACACAAGCATTGGGTAGTCTCAATTGCGTAGCGAGACTCTCAATTGGAACACAGATCTCCAACTTACAATATATAGAGTTAGGAAGAGAGCTAATCTTCTGGGTGCCTTATCTGGTAACAGAGCAGGCACCAGTTCCAAACCCTTAATTCACACATACAAAACATTTATAAGACCCATTATTGGCTACAAGGCGTGTATATATGCATTACTCAACAGTAAGTAAACCAAAAAACTCTTAACCACCGAGAGTAAAATACGATATATGGGAAAACATGCGTACTATCCATCTACTTGCAAATTTGCACATAATGGAAAACAGAGTCCATTCGCTCAGCAGAGATATATACTAAAAACTATAAATAGTCTGAAAAACAGAGCTAAGCTGACTCCCAAACCTCCTTGCCATCGCAGAGGGCACATACTCACCAGGAATCCCATTAAAAAAGTTTCTTTCCCACCAGCCAAACTTCCTCTCTCTGTACTGATAACGAACTTCCTGATGACTATTACGACGTCCTTAAAGCAAATTCTCTTAAATCATCATCATTGGTGCTACAGCCCTATAAAAGAGTTTCGGCCTTCCCAAGTCTATTACGCCAGTCAGTTCTATCCACTGCCAACTATTGCCAGTTTGCTGCGCCTATTTTTTTACCATCCTCATCTACACCATCCCTCCATGTGAGTTTTGGCCTACCCCTACTTCTACTTCCCACAGGTTGTGACATAAGGATTCTTCTAGGAGGGTTGTTCTGCTGTGATCTTGCCAGATGTCCTGCCCATCTTAGTCTTCCTATTTGTATAATAGAAACTACGTCTTTACCACGAAATATATATTTATATCTGTGATATATCTCATAGTTGTACCTCCTTCTCCAAACACCATTTTCTCAGATGCCACCGAATATTCTTCTCAGGATCCTTTGTTCAAATATAAGCAGGAGGTTTTCATCTGCCTTGGAAATGGTCCATGTCTTTGATCCATATGTCAACACTGATTGTATAAGGGTTTTGTATATGGTTATTTTTGTTTTTTGGCTTAAGTTTCTGCTTCTCATATGTCTACTCAATCCAAAATAGCATTTGTTTGCTAGGATTATTCTTCGCTTGATTTCTTCCGCCATGACGTTCTCTTTGGTGATCAGGGAGCCTAAGTATGTGAATTTGTCCACCACTTCAAAGGTAGAGTTATCAACAGTGAATTGGTGGTCAATGTTTCTGGCTCTATTGTTGATGTTTTATTAAAAATGTTTCCTCTGTTGTCTATTTGGGCATCCGTGACCGCCTTTTCCCGAGCTATGTTGAAAAGGAGACACGCCAGCGCATCTCCCTGTCGCAGCCCAACATGCGTTTCAAATGACTGTGATTGTTCGCCCTGAATTTCAACTTTGCAAACAACTTTACGCATTGTAGCCTTAACCAATCTTATCAGTTTATCGGGGATGTGAAATTCATCCATGGCTTCATACAATTTATTTCTTAGGACACTATCATAGGCCGATTTAAAATCTACGAAAAGATGGTATGTGTCAATATTGAATTCATTGGTTTTTTCCAGTATTTGCCTTAGCACAAACATCTGGTATGTTGTTGATCGACTAGGCCTAAAACCACTTTGATATTCGGCAAGAAGCTCCTCTGAATATGCACTCAGGTGACTATATAAAATACAAAAAGTATTTTGTATGCTGTATTAAGGAGGGTTATTCCCCTATAGTTTCTACATTCCAATTGATCACCCTTTTTGTGTAGCGGGCAAACGTTCCCAATACACCACCCTTCCGGAATTTGATCCTCATTTCAGGCTCTCAGAATGATTTTATATATATGGCTAGTCAGAGTAGCACCTTCACATTTAATAAGTTCCGCGGGTATACCATCACTTCCTGGAGATTTATTATTTTTTAGCTGTTTTATTGCATCCCGCACTTCTTGAATTGATGGAGGCCCCAATGGTGTATTGTTGCTTGCTCCTGGGGGTGGTGATTTGGATCTTCTACTTCTATAGTAAGTAGTTCTTTATAGTGTTCCACCCACCTTTTCAATACTTCTTCTTTTATATTTGTATTGAGTATATGCCCCTCCATATCCTTACATAGTCCGATCCTTGGTTTAAATTCTTTTCTTGCATTATTCAGATTTTTATAGAATTTTCCTGTTTGATTTTCCTTTTTTAATGCCTCAAGTTCTTCCAATATTATATTTTCATGTTGGCTTTTTTCTCCGATAGATGTACTTCTCTTCTCTTCTGAGATCTTTATATTTTTGTTCTTTTTCTCGGGTTCTTCTTTGCTGCATTAGTTTGTATGCATTGTTCTTTCTTCTTGTAATGTCCTCGCACTCAGCATCGAACCACTCATTGCGTGGTGGTGCTCTTTGAGGCCATATAATGTTATTTGCTGCGTCTTTTGTATATTTTTTATACATTTCTCATTGTTCACTAATTGTTAGATTCTTTTTAGTTATGTATTTAGTTTCGATATAGTTTTGAAACCTTTCTACCGTTTGCGGATTTTTAAGGAGTTCGATATTAAGGCGCCTTGTTTTGGTACTTCTCTTCTTCTTCGCATTTGAGATTCTAGCCCGAATTCTTGTGCCAACTAGAAAATGATCTGAATCAATATTGGCGCCTCGATAGGTGCGGACATCTATAAGTTTGGAGAAGTGTCCAGCATCCATGATCACATGGTCCAAATCCCCATATGTATTTTTTGTGTAGAAAACCTATCATCTCTAGGTGCTTTCCATGTATATATTTTTTGATTTGGGAGTTTATACCACGTGTTTTTGATAATGAGTTCGTTATCTTTGCAAAACTGAACTAGTCTTTCACCTCTTTCATCTCTTTCCTTGCGTGTTCCCAGTCCGTGTTCTCCTACTACTTCTCCATCTCTTCCTTTCCCTACCTTCGAGTTGAATTCTTATTCTCGTTGAATTCTCGAGTTTCTAATCTTGTTCTTTTTTAGTTTCATTGAATGTTTTGTTTAAGTCATTATAGAAGTTGTTTACTTCTTCCTCTGTGCCATCAGATGTTGGTGCATACACTACAATGATGTTTATTTTGCACGGAATAGCGTTTAATTTCAATAGTGTCTGTTTGTTGCTTCCCTTAATTTTTCCCATCTCTCTATTATGTCCGACGTGTTCTCGTTAATGTCCTGTATAATATCGTATGTATTTTTCAAATCGACGAAAACATTTTCTTTTTTTTTTTTTTTTTTTTTTTTTTTTTTTAAGATAAAAATACGTTTATTGACGTTTCAATTTCCAATTCGGAAATCGTTCTCAAAATACAAACATTAAATTAAACAAATTTTGTTTTTTGTTACATAGTGAAAAAATTCTTCTAATAATTTAATTTTATCTGACTCATTTATATTGACAATTCACACATACATTATGCATTTTAAAGTAGACGACTTTAAAATGATATTGCCAATATTGTTGAGTTGCGCTCCTGGGACGACTTTACTTATAAGATAGTTTATTCGATTACATGAAATCAACTTTAACTTGAGAATATCCGTCAGAAAAAAATCATAGCATGTAATTCGTCTTTAAAAAGACAAACACATGACATGATGACAGTAAAATTCTCCTGTTAGTGATTCCATAGTAAATTATGAGGGAAAACCAGGAAAAAAACCTCATAATACTATCCCGACATTGTAAGTATTTGTTCGTGAATTTAGTTTACCTTCAACAAACATCAAAATTCTGATTTTATATGTTACGTTATTTAAAAAACATAAATGATGTATGCTCTATATGTTACTGACTTACTAATACTGGTATTTTCTTATTAATAACTTCCTCTTTCAATATTGGTAACCAGATCCTACTACATTCTGCCGAGGAATTTGCGACACAATTGGCCTCATTTAGCATAATTAGAGCCGCTTCTTTGATTTTTCTTTTTTTACCATCTGTTTCTTTTAGGACTATATTTGAATTATTCCATTGAATCCTATGTTCATTATCCCATGCGTGTTTACATATTTGAGATCTATCAAATTCTCTATTTTTAATATAAGATTGATGTTCACTTATTCTAACATTTAATGGCCTTGATGATTCACCTAAATAAAACTGATCGCATTCACAAGGTATTTTATAAATGCAATTCTTTGTCCTTTCTTGTTCATTGTTAGGTTTGGTTTTGGACAAAATAGATCTCAACGTGTTTGTTGTTTTGAATGTTGTTGAAATGTTGAATTTATTTCCTATCCTTTTAAGTTTTTCTGATAATCCTTTTATGTATGGTATTGTTATTTTCCTCATATTAATTATATTATATATAAGGATATTCTCAAGTTAAAGTTGATTTCATGTAATCGAATGAACTATCTTATAAGTAAAGTCGTCCCAGGAGCGCAACTCAACAATATTGGCAATATCATTTTAAAGTCGTCTACTTTAAAATGCATAATGTATGTCTGAACTGTCAATATAAATGAGTCAGATAAAATTAAATTATTAGAAGAATTTTTTCACTATGTAACACTATGACAGACTTCTGGGTTTTTGATTTCCTATTCGTTCGTGCTCTAAGTTCGTGCTCTACAAATATGTTATTTGTATGATTATTTGTTGTCCTTCGTTTTATATAGTTCATAATTTAAAAAAAGCTATTTTGAAACTTACATAATAATAATTTATTTATTAACTTATATACACTTATATAGAGAATGTCTTTGGTTTAATTTTTATATAAAATACATCTTTAAAATAACAAATAAAAAATAAGCAGCTATTTTCATCCTTGGTCCGGTAACATCTACAGCTCCAGATTTTGTTTTCCCTGAAACACAAAACACTATTTATTACATATTTAAAACATTACCAATAAATAAGTAGTTAATAATTAGGGGAATTTTTTACACATTTTCAAGTTATAATTAAATATACCTCTTATGGTCTAGACTTAAATATACACAGATCACGACATTATTTTATTGACCATACAACACAATGGCAATCGCTTTGACATGTTACACGTTTACACGTCTATATTCATTTAATATTAAAAAGTGTAAGTTGTAACATGGTACTTTCAGGGTCATTCGATACGGGAAGTAATTGAATTATTTATTGTTGCCTTTGAAAATAGACCTCCATCAAGTGTTACAACAGTTAAAAATACCATTAAACATTTTCAAACTTCGGGATGTGTAAACAGTTGTAAAAAGTGTCATGAAGGTAATGAACCACGTGTTAGACCTGTCGATGAGGAGTGTCAAAACAGGGAAATTGATATTTGTGCTTTTGTGGAAGCTAGTGAACCCTGCAATAGTGTACAAATTGCTAGGGAAGTTAACGTGAATGTTCGAACTGTCCGGCGAGTTCTCAAAAGGAATGGGTATCACTGTTTTAAGATACAATCAACACAAGAACTGTTTCCGGAAGATAACTTTAGTCGTATGGAGTTTTAGCGAATTTATGTTAGATAAACAGAATGAAACGTACACTTTTTAAAAAATATTTTATTTTCTTCATTTTCATTACATAAAAACACAATACATCCGTTGCAAAGTATTATTCTCGGAAAAATAAGCACCTCCGTGTTAAAGCAGCATCCGCAAGTTAAAGTTAAATGTTTGGACTGTTTAAAATTTATTGCAAAGTAAACCCGAAAATCCGAAAGTAAGTATGTTTTTCAATTGTTTATAATTATTAAAATAAACCATAAAAACATTTAAATCACTATTTAACTGTGAATAAGCCACAATTAAAGATAAAAATACGTTTATTGACGTCTCAATTTCCACTTCGGAAATCGTTCTCAAAATACAAACAGTAAATTAAACAAATTTTGTTTTTTGTTACATAGTGAAAAATTCTTCTAATAATTTAATTTTAGCTGAATCATTTATATTGACAATTCAGACATACATTATGCATTTCAAAGTAGACGACTTTAAAATGATATTGCCAATATTGTTGAGTTGCGCTCCTGGGACGACTTTACTTATAAGATAGTTCATTCGATTATATGAAATCAACTTTAACTTGAGAATATCCCTCAGAAAAAATCATAGCATGTAATTCGTCTTTAAAAACAAAAACACATGCCATAATGACAGTAATTAATTCTCCTGTTAGTAATTTCATAGTAAATTATCAGGGAAAAACCAGGAAAAAAACCTCATAATACTATCCCGACATGGTAAGTATTTGGTCGTGCATATAGTTTACCTTCAATAAACACCCAATTCTGATTTTATATGTTTGTTATTTAAAAAAGATAAATGATGTATTCTCTATATGTTACTGACTTACTAATACTGGTATTTTCTTTTTAATAACTTCCTCTTTCAATATGGGTAACCAGATCCTATTATATTCTGCCGAGGAATTTGCGACACAGTTGGTCTCAACATTTAATGGCCTTGACGTTAGAATAAGTGAACATCAATCTTATATTAAAAATAGAGAATTTGATAGATCTCAAATATGTAAACACGCATGGGATAATGAACATAGGGTTCAATGGAATAATTCAAATGTAGTCCTAAAAGAAACGGATGGTAAAAAAAGAAAAATCAATGAAGCGGCTCTAATTATTCTAAATGAGGCCAATTGTATCGCAAATTCCTCGGCAGAATGTAGTAGGATCTGGTTACCAATATTGAAAGAGGAAGTTATTAATAAGAAAATACCAGTATTAGTAAGTCAGTAACATATAGAGGATACATCATTTATGTTTTTAAAATAACGAAACATATAAAATCAGAATTTTGGTGTTTATTGAAGGTAAACTAAATGTACGAACAAATACTTACCATGTCGGGATAGTATTATGAGGTTTTTGTCCTGGTTTTTCCCTCATAATTTACTATGGAATCTCTAACAGGAGAATTTTACTGTCATCATGTCATGTGTTTGTCTTTTTAAAGACGAATTACGTGCTATGATTTTTTCTGATGAGTATTCTCAAGTTAAAGTTGATTTCATGTAATCGAATGAACTGTCTTATAAGTAAAGTCGTCCCAGGAGCGCAACTCAACAATATTGGCAATATCATTTTAAAGTCGTCTACTTTAAAATGCATAATGTATGTCTGAATTGTCAATATAAATGAGTCAGATAAAATTAAATTATTAGAAGAATTTTTCACTATGTAACAAAAAACAAAATTTGTTTAATTTACTGTTTGTATTTTGAGAATGATTTCCGAAGTGGAAATTGAAACGTCAATAAACGTATTTTTATCTTTAATTGTGGCTTATTCCCAGTTAAATAGTAATTAATTTAAAATGCCACAAGAAAATAGCTTCAGAACAATATTTAAATCACATTTCATAACGTGAGTAGTTACTTCATTAGTGAAATATGGACACAATTGGTGAAGTAGTTTGTAAACAATTATGTTTATTTATCCCATTTGAGAGAAAAAATGGCTGTACAGGTGCTTTGTCAATACTTAAAATACTTTTTTTGTCTGATTGTCTCAAATTTTCATGTTTTTTTAAAACTATAATAATTTTAAATTTCTTCTAAATAATTGATGCACAATAAAGTACCATTACCATTATATTGGTAATAGCCCTAACTTATAGCGCAGAATATATCGGTAGAGTTTTTTGAAAATAGTATTTAAAATGTAATCGGAAATTAGAATTATGTGTTATAAAATTTTTATCAAAAGTACAAGGTCTCAAAACATTAGTAAGTGATCCACTTATTATAAACCTACCTAACTATAGTACTATTATATTCAAATATTTTACAGTTCAAGGTCTCCTCGCATGAACGGAGTCAATCCGATCTGCTTTTTAACTTCTAAATTAACAAAAGAGTAGTGAAATAGTTACATAACAACGAAAAACTGATAATAAACTTTTCAGTTTATTTAAACCTAAAGAATTGCGAAAATAAAAGTATATATATATATATATATATATATATATATATATATATATATATATATATATATATATATATATATATATGCGGTGAATAACAATGCATTCTCATTCAGCGGGAAAGACGAAGCAACTTATAGCATATACCAGGAACCAGATATCATAAAATATATTCAAATACGAATAGTAAGATAGGACGTCTGAGGTGGGTAGGGCATGTAATATAGATGGAACAAACTGACCCAGCTTGCAAAACGCTCCTTAATAGATCCATTAGTCAGAGAAGAAGAGGAAAGTCCCAGAACAAAGTTCCTTAATAAAATTCTTGATGAGGCTACGATCCACACAGTGTTGTAAAGCCAATATGATAATGAAAACAGCGTTATATCCCTTAGGTTATCTGACGGATTCCAAAGCCTCCTAACTATGTACGGTGAACTCTTCGAGATAGATCCATTTAGTGAAGACACAATCAACTGCAATTTAATATTGCTTGAACAACTCAGCGAATCCAGGAAAAAGAAATGGGGAAAAAACTGGAGCAACTTGACATTTCAAACAGTAGCAAGATCGCTTAGAACTTCATAAAAAAATTAACGGCGACCTGTTGGGAAAAAAATGCATTCCAAACGTAAGCCTCAAGCACATAGCACACCATTTATTGAGAAATGGGAAAACCGAAATAAAGGCCAACCCTTTCTAAAGGTTAACCCAGAACCAGAACGAACCACCTCGATACACTGTTTATCCTAAAGGAACTAAGCAACAATACAAATCAACAAACTAGTTAAAACATGGAAAGGCTGTTGGTGTAGATAATGTATGCACCGAACAAATCAATCATTTCAGACCTCGTAAGAAATTATGGATACTGCAGCTATTCAACATTTGTGTGTGGACACCAAGAAAATATCAAAGCTCAGGTGAAAATCTCAAGTGATCGCAACTTGTGAAATATCCAGCATAATCATAATCATGCATTACACAAGGACTTGCCAAAAATTATAAATGTGGCATTGGTTGATTCGTGGGCGGCTTACAACATCGTAAACCACAAGCTGCTCTTATCAAACATCTTCAAAATCACTACAGACATTAATCAAACAAAGAACAGCAAGTGAAGGAACCAAAAACGATTTACCTAAGGAAGTGTACTTGCACCAATATTGTTCAATATTTATATGATCGATCAGCTAACCTCTGCCTACTTAAAACACTGCCTATTCAGATGAACTAGCCTTGAGGCACTAGCACTACGAAAGACCGCAAAATACATCGAAAGATTCAAACAAGAGTTCTACAATAGATACCCATTATATAGAGTATTGCTTTACGAAGAGTCTAGAGGAAGATTAAGGCAACGCTTTCTAAAGACAATCTCACTGTAGCCACCTGATGACTACCTGCTACGACAAGATAATCCTGGCGGTAAATAGAATAAGAACAGGCAACAGGACAAATGAAATCAGAAGAGTTAGGATCGATGCACAGGACTCACTATGCGAATGCAGTGAATTTCAGAACATGGAATACCCACTAAAGTACAGACTGGCAGTGGTAGATGCGCTCTCAAAAAATTGTGACATACCAGCAACAATGCCAGTGACGTCCTCCGTTACTGGACGGAGAAACTTTTAAGAACATTTGAATTTGGCACGAAATAACAAAGTAAGTGAAGTGTGTTGATTTTTGCTTATTGTTTAACATTGTTGTGCTTAGAACATATCCTTAAACATTAGTGAATAATATCAGATCTTTTTTCCAAAACTGTGTCTTTGATATCTGGCAAAGTATAGATTTGAGATGTGGGCGTACCGAAGAATGTTAAAAATCTCCTGGAAGGAGAAGATAACTAACCAAGTTGTATTAGACAGGATGAACAAACAAAAGGAGGTCGTATTGAGTGTTAAAATGAGGAAACTACAATACCTGGGACAGATTACACGTGGGAATAAATATCAACTGTTACAACTAATTATGCAAGGAAAGATTGAAGGTAGGCGCAGCATAGGTAGGAGAAGAATGTCATGGTTGAGAAACCTCAGGGAGTGGTTTGCTTGCACTTCCATACAATTGTTCCGAGCGGCAGCCTCCAGGGTCAAAATTGCCATGATGATAGCCAACCTTCGTAGCGGAGATGGCACGTGAAGAAGAACAAAGTATAGATTACATATTAACGTTTCTTTGATCAAAGTAGCGGGAAATCATTCTATTAATCATTAGGCTAAGCAGTTGTATTCTCAAAAGATATTTATCATTTATGAACCAAAATCAGAAACGACATAATTATTTTGATCTAATCTAGTCAATTTATCCTCGTTATATACTTACATTTCACTGCCGCAACGAGCTGACAACAACAGGTACGTAGTCTGTGATATTCTGTACAGTCACTTGCTACCGTAGAGCATAATTCACGGCCCAAGTAACAAGTATGTGGTATGTAAGGAAAAAATTCTAAAACAAAAATATTACTTGTAGTACATGTATGCCCAAAATGTTCATTATATCGACAAACTGTTTCAATTTGTGGTCATAATTTCAAATAATGAATAAAAAATATATGTAGGTATATAACTGTGGTGTTTGGGAGAAACATGATAACTCCAAAATAGCGAAAATTTTGTTAAGTCCTGTACTGCATTTTGTTTTTGATCTATTTACGTTTAATCTGACTGTGGTATGTCTATCACGTCTAGAAAATGAGCCACGGCTTGGTATAATATTGATAAGTCCCTATTATTCAAATTTTGTTTGGTATAGTCCTGTTAAAATATTATATCATGTACCCGAAAACAAAACTAAACAATAACGTTTTGGTTCATATCTGATAATTGGTACTTATCATGTCTAAATCAAATAATATGCACATTCTTTTGGTAAAACATTTTGGTTCATATGTGATAACTGGTACTTATCATAGTTATATCAAATAATATGCAAATTATTTCGGTAATTTTATGCTATGTCCCACTTAACATCTTTGATTCAAATAAATATTATATTTCAGTGGAATTTTCTGTAAGTTTTTTATGTAAGTGGCAAATAAAATGAATACCTATATCAAACTTTTCTTTTCGTTGTTTTGTACTTATCATAATTATTCATGAGCATTTGGTCGTATTCACGAACGTGTCGATTGCATTGTGTTAGTGTTAAGATTAGTGTTAAGGAATGACTAGTTAGTTACACTTAGTCAGAAGTCAGTATTAAAGTCAGTTTGTCTAAATCTTTCGAAGGCGAATGACGCAGTAAATGCGATCGAGTAATTTGGTAAACATGGCTTATAATACAAGTTTTCGTATTACAAAAATAATTGAGATGTGTTTATTAGAAAATGAACAGTCGTCTTCTAATAATGTAAGTATTAAGTTTGATAGTGTAGAACTAACTGATGTTGAATCAGCTTCATATCCAGGCCCCTCTGGAAGTAAAGAAAGCAATTTGCACGTTTTAAAATCAGCACTATCTTCACCAGTAAATCTTAAAGAAAAGACTCATCTGCTGAATGTATTAGCTTCTGAAGTAACTTCTGGTGATAATTTGAGTTCTGGTTCTAGCAATTTGTGAGAACCATCAGATTCTAAACGTGAACATTTAAAAGCTGATTCCGAAGACCCTCAAAACGAGTTAGATGATCACCTTCCTTTGGCTCAAATAAATATAAAAAAAATAAAGAAAGGGCCAGGGTCCAATGCAACAGAAATTTAGAGAAGGTCGTTCTGATAAAAAAAGAAAAGGTGAGGAATACATTATTGCTAAAGGTAAGAGCATTTCAGCTCAAGTTTCAATAACTGTGTCCACAAACTTTTAAGCAAAATGTCATGAAAAGACTGCCTCCGTTGATCTAAAGCAAATTTTTGAGACTACAGAAACTTGTCAACTATGGATACACAGAAACGTTATTTGGCTAGTTTAATACCAGTAAAACCTAAAGAAAGAACACGGCGTGGTAACTCAGTCAAAAATAGGTAATTTAAAGAAAATTTCAGAAACAAAAAAACATGGTGAAATATCAAATGCACAGCTTTTAGCTAACCAACAGCCAATTGACAGGGTAGATGCATACCTTCGTACCAACATAAACAACCAATGGAATCTTCCTCCTCCTCAGTCCTAATCCCTTTTGGGATGTGGTGACACCATCAGGCCTTTACAGTTTTTTCACGATTTTCCTCCATCCTTCTCCGTCCCTGGGCTAGTTGTTCGGCTTCATGTAACCCTTGAATAATCAATATTTTTGTTTGATCTACCCAACGGCTTGGAGATCTTCCCCTAGGTCTCTTTCCTTCAACTCTGCCCTCGACTATCAGTTTTCCATCGTACTTGTTCTTCTAGCAATGTGTCCAAAATACTGCAAGAGATTTCCCTATAGAAATAGAAATAAAACACCGCATAGGGAAGGCAGAATCAGCATTTGTAAAGATGAAATATATCTTCAGAAACCATTATTTACCACTCAGAACCAGTCTTCATCCTCAGATGTTATATTATTTCTACATTGTACGGTGTAAAGACAAAGACGCTTTCTGACGCTTCTGTAAAAGGCTTGAGGCCATCGATATATGGCGTTAAATAGTGACGCGCCTTAAAAATTTCAAGGGTGGACCGGATGACTGATGTTGATTTTATATGTAGGATGGAGAAGAAATGTGAGATCGTTTGTACAATCAAAGAGTGCAAATTAGAATATCTGGGCCATATTATAAGAAATGACTAGAGATATGTTCTGTTGTTTAAACTATGTGGAAAAAAGGACCAGGAAGAAGAAGAATTTTTTTGGCTCCACAAGCTGAGAAAAAGTTTCAACAAGTCTACAATCGAATTATTCCGAATAGCTACCAGCAAAATAAGCTGTATTCTCCAAAAATTGGATATGGCACATTAAGCAACGGGGTGTTGAAACTTAAAGGCTAAAAATATTTACTGAAAGTCTCTCCTTGAAAGCAAAACTGACTTCTCTTTCCGATTTTTCTTATAATTAATGGGAATGAAGATGTTAATGTTAAAGAGGAAAAGTTTTTGAAATTGTCACCCTGTATATGTGGATAATATCAGTTGAAATGGTAATAAGTCTGATTATTTCTGGTATATCCTTTACATGTTTATTAATAAAAATGGTTAATGAAACCTTGAAATATTGAAATAAAATACAGCTATTTATTTGTTATTAGGTTGCAAACACGAAATGTTATATTATCAGAAGCACATTTTAATTTAATTATAAAAATTAATGTTTTTTAAACAGTAAATAACATGTTTTCAATATAGAACATCTATATATTTACATTGTTTAATAATATTTCATCTTTAACCTGTATTTTTCTTTCAGTTTTTCAGATGTTCTAGATACTGTAAAGGTACTTAACATATAGAGCAAATATCAATAAAAAACACAACTAACTACAAAGGAATAAAGTCCATTAATTTAATTGTCCGGTGAATTTAAAAGCATTTGAAGGTGAATTTTACTCTGTCGTTATATGATTTAAGAAGGCTATTCATGCAGAACTGAATTAAATGCCTTCTTGTAGTCAATGAAGGCAATAAAAAGGTTCCTTTTTTGGTGTATGCGTGGTTAGAAATAATAAAGTAGATTATAAGTTGTTCTTTGCAGCCTATGGAACCCTTGTCGCATCATTTCTGTTGTGGCTCTATGATATTGTTTAGAGCACAGTGTTGATGAATGTGCTGGTGATGGTAGGTACAAAGTTGGAAGACAAATAATTATTTGGTATTTGGCTGGGTCTTGGGTGGTATTTTGATCCTTCAGGATTAAATAAATGGTTCCCTTAGTAAGGAATGATTAATTATCTTTGAAAACACTCATGAACACTCCAAAACTTCTTTATCCGGAAATTTTGAACTCCGTCTGGTTCAGGAGATTTCTAGTTATGAAACTCCTTAATAATTTTTGAGATTTCTTCAGTGGTAAAGGGTTCGTAAGGAATGTTATTATTATTATGATTATTTCTATCCAGATTTTTTATTTCTATTGTTATTATATTTTTGTGGAAATGATATATACTCGTCTGATCTTATTTCTGCAAGTAGATCTAAGAGGTTGTTTGAAACTGTTTCTTAAACACTCGGTGTCTGTTGATGCATATACTGCTATGAGTATTGTGCCATATCAACAATATTTTAAGCTTAAATTCATTATTACTTGGTCAAAAATGAAAAAAAAAGAAAAGCTGGGACAAGTTTGCAGAAAAAATGGAAGAAAATAGTAAAAAAAAGTTTAAAATTGTTTTATAGAACAATGAAAAACCTACGAAGCACTAGAGAAATAAAACTAAAACCAATAATGACCAGAAAGATATAATAGAAAGATGAAGAGAACATTCCGAACAGCAATTGAACGGAGAGAAAGGAAAAACAAAATAAAATGACAACAACGTAATTGGTGGATTAGATGAAAACACGGCGGAAACCAAACCCATACAGGAAAAAGAACTAGTGAAAGCAATACGAAAGATAAAGACTGGAACAGCTGGGAGCTATGCAGTCCCAGGATCTCAGCTATCAGGAAGGCTTGATGGTGTCACCACATCAAAAAACCACTCGTAATCCCTTTTGGGATGTGGTGAAACCATCAGGCCTTCACAGTTTTTCACGATTTCCCTCCACCCTTCTCTGTCCTGGGCTAGTTGTTCGGCTTCATGTAACCTTTGGTTAATCAATATTTTTGTTTGATCTTTGTTTGATCGAAAAATTGACACGGCTTACTAAATCGAAGTGGTGATAGACCAACAAAAAATAAAGCAAACAAACATATACAAATACCTAAGAACACTAATAAGTAACAAAGAAAGCATCGATGACGATATTTCAGGTTCTAAATAGAAAGGATTTCTAAAGAACAAAGAAATATCAAGAAAATGAAGATGTCAATATATAAAGCACGCTATAGAAAAATGCTCACATACGAAACAGAGAACTGGATCTTAAACAGAAGACACTAGAGTAGGATACAAACAGCAGATATGAAATACCTCAGAAGAACGAAAGGGACCAGAAGGACAGACTCAAAAATAAAGAAATAAGAAACATACTCAAAGTTAAACCGTTACTTGATACAATAAAGGAGAAAAATTAGCATGGTTTTTCTTATAACTCGAATAGACAATAACAGGCATCGAGTTAGAATCTATGGAGAAGCTATGAGCATATTAACGTATGTATTAAAAACGGCGTAGGTAGGAGTGGCTAACGATAATACCAATATGGCGGTGACATCAGGGCCAGACTCAATAATGTTAAAACTACTATACAAATATGACTAGTTATTCAGAAGATTTAATCATAATCTAAAAAAGTGTAATACATTTAATAAACTATGATTTATTTATCCAGCGGTTAACACTAAAAACACGATATATTATACATAAAGATAAATTAATACAGTGAAATACTATTAATTTACTCTCTGAAGTACGGGCCATTACTTTGTTTAG